CCAAGATATCCGAGCGAGAGAGGTTTCGAGACGCCGACGACGTGATCGAACATGTTTGATCACGTCGTCGGCGTCTCGAAACCTCTCTCGCTCGGATATCTTATCTCAATTCTACAATCGCTCTCGCATGCGCTCGAATATCCCTACACAAGAGACTGTTTTGCGCGCCTTTACGCTCATTTTGGCTTTTGCAATTATTTTGCCATGCATCTTCTGACACTCTGCCGATAAAGTCTCCATTTTGTGCGTGTCCATAGTTGCTTTCCTTCAGACTTTTACATGAGAAGTATTTTATACTCGAGTGCAACGCGCACAAAAATCGAGAGCGTTGATTGGCTGAAAGAGTCACGTGAACAGCCCGACTAGACGCAACGCGACGTGAAGCTTGACATCGGCAGTTTTCACGTTGCGTTAAGTTCTGACACTTCACGTCACGTCGATCGTAATCAGCCGCATATAAAAACAATGTGTTTAGGTTTTACGTTACGTAACGTCCCGTCGCGTCCCGTTACGTTAAGTTCATCGTAATCCCGGCTTTACGCCTTGTCGTGTAGACGAGCCTTAAGGCCTGTGTCCACTCTCCGCGCGCCTAGCAACGTCAATGGTGGGGCGACCGTATCTCGCCGTGCGTCTGAATCGTCTGAATTGAAATATTTCGACGGTAGGCCGGGCTAGGACAGCGAGTTTTAATAATTTAATCAAGTGAGATCTAAAAGTAAATATTTTACATACATACAGGGTGAATCTTAGCTGCTGCGCCGGCCCTTTTACCAATTTACTGTTTACATAAGATATATTGTGTTAGCAAATTATTTTTCTCCGCGTGATGTCTGTAAGTGGAACAAGTTTTCAACTTACCTGTAACATCCCTGAGATCTAAGTAGCTGCCCTCTTATGCCGTTTAGTGAACTAAAGTTGCAGTCGGTAATCCATCTCTCATGGTAAAAAGCTGGTACAGGAAATAAGGTTCACCCTGTATAGCGAATGTATATTACATACATATGTATATAATTCGCTGACACCGATTTGCGATTTCTTTCTGTAAATTTTAACATAATTTATATAAAACGTTTTCATCAATTACAAAATGCTGTTAAGAAAGTGTTACATTTTACAGGTCACTCTTATAACATGAAACATCAGCTTTTTTTAGTAGCGATACTTCGTACTTCTGTAATAATATTTGCAATTGTTCTTCCCCCCCCCCTCTCTCTCTCTCTCTCACTCACTCACTAAAAAGCATCACGAAGAAAAATCGTGGTAACAAAGTCTGGGTGAGTTCAGAAGTTAAAGAAGCTGCGTTTCTTAGAAATATACATACATATAATACATATACATATATGCGTGGTTATGTTAAGTGCTATCTTTTATCGGCACGAGATACGCCAACAAACATCGTCAAAAAGAATACGAAGCGCCTCGGCAGGCCTACATACACTCGATGGCCTCGTCTACTCTCGCTAACCGGGACACCGCGCGTTAAAGTCACCGCGCGCCGCAGATGTTGCCTACGCAAGGATATTTTTGAGATTACGCCGCGCCGCGCGTCACAGGACGCGTCAAGATTAATCGAGTCCATATCCGTTCGCTGAAATTCCACCACCATCGTTCGAATTTCAAACTTATATAGTCATTAGGACTATGTCGGTCTTACCGTGGGCCTTCGTCCTCGACGCGATCGCGCGAGACCGAAGCGGTTATCGTTAAATCGAATCTCGAAGCGTGTCAACAGTATGCAACCGTGTTATCTCGCGGAGATGTTACACGGTTGTTATTCGTAAAAAGTCTCGCGTCGAATCGAGTCGGAAAACGAGCCTTGAATAACCGTGTACGATCTACGTTCGAGAGACAAGAAAAAGAAGATTCGCGATGAAAACATCCGAAAACCGACTTCGCGGGACAACTTCCCGTCGGATAACGGAGTTTGATTCATGCGTGCGAGTCCCTTTCGGTGCAAAGCTTCATTTTACGCGGAAAACGTTTAATATAATTTGAAGAAAAAAAGAAGATAAGTCGAATATATTTCCAGGCGGGATTTTCACGAGATGAGAGCTCGGCGCATATCTAGCCGATGCATTATCGCCGCTATTTTTATCTAACGGTAAAAGATCGCCGTGGCCCGGCGCGGCGGAGACGCGGTGGAGGCGGAAGGGAAACCTGCACTGCCCGGTTTCTTGCAGCCATGATTGGTAGTGGCCGTCAGTACTTGCTTAACCGTTGGGCCGTTAGCAAGAACGTTCAGCACTCTCCGAGCTCTCCCGACTCTCCTCCGATTCGGCGTCTCCTCTCCGGCGGCGTCCACCTCCCGCGCCGTCTCGCGAAGCGCGGAGAGACGCGAGACGCGACGACCGTCTACGGCGATCCTCGCGGCTCTAACGAGTCGTTCCGGTCTCGTTTCGGGTGCTCTTTTCTCAGTGCAGCTCGGTGGAGGAGCCCTCTTCCCGTCTTTCGTTCTCCAGCCAGGTGAGTCACCGTGAGACGAATTATTTTCGCACGATGACGCGACGACCTCCTTTACCTGTCCTCGCGCAGCAGGTACATATATCTCGTCTCCTTTTTTTCTTTTCTTCGGAGCAATCAAATCGACGGTAACGCGGGTTCACCGAGGTCGTCCGTATGCTCAATGGGGGCCCCCGGACCCATCGTTCTCTCTTTTGTTTTTCCTCCTGTTTCCCCCCGCGAGTGCCCTGAATCGCGCCTGTCGGTGAAAGTCCCGGAGCCGTAGCGACGAATTGACCGCGGTACTTTCGTTGCGGCCAGCAATTTACGGAACCTAAACTACGGCAGGTGGAATTTAATCGACGGCATCGACGTTCGACGGGCCGTGTTGAATGGATACCCACCGGTTTCCCAATTTACGGAGCAAACCAGCGGAAAGTGGAATAGCCTAATATGAATACTTTCGTGCTGAGAAATTTCGCTCTATTATCATATACAGGGTGTCCCACTTCCCGCGCATTGTCTTAATGACAGATTTCTTCATCAATTTCGGGTCGATTTTTCCTTGGCGAGAATGTCGAGAGAAATTATAGGCAATTTTATAGCAACTTTCCAATTTAGCTCTCTTTACGCGCATTTCAGACTACGTTATATTAAAATTCTAGCACTTGAATCCACTTGAGAAATATCATTTTTGTTATTCGTGAAAAGCCCGTTTTTCAATCGTATGCAACTCGAAAATTATTTTCTTTAATAGTACCGTTTATGAAAAGTTTGATATTAATAAAAAATTACCTTTAATATTAACAAAACATCTTTCAATACGTTTGTTTACAGTTATTGTTTCTCTTTATGACAATATTACATTCTATATATGACATTTATATTTATATTTACATGTCCTAACATTATAAAACATTAATATGCATTTGAAAGACAATTTACTCTAATGGCGTATTTGCATAGCACTTTCCATATTCTCGACACGACAAACATGATTAAGAATGTCTCGCAGAGCTAGAGTTTCAAATACGACCGTGTGTATCTTGTTTCTTCGCAAAAGAAGCGCAGTAATGCAAAGGTGTCAAATCCTACTAACGTTACAAGACTTTCTGCATCGACAGACTCGTAATTCGATCTTATATTTGTCCGCTTATAAGCAGTATTTAGCATCGCGCGCTAGCTACTCTTTTACAATAAAAAGGAAGGAACAATTTTGAGAAATTAAATTTCTTTCAATTTCCAGTTATATGTGATGTTACTAAACTTTACGTCTCGAGGATTGAGATAATAGTAATCAAGCAAAGACCGCGGTGAACGAGGATTTTCTAAACGGAAACGTAATTGAGGTTTACAAAATTTAATAGATTGAAGTAGAAATTTAAACAATTATTATTAATTAAAACTGTCCTGATCCGTTAAATTTCTCCTCTTCTCCTCCTTCGTGTAAATTATATTTATTATCGCTGGTAAGAGATAATACCAAGCTTATGCTTACTAATGGGAATTAAATCAATGTATCGTCAACAGATACTCCTGAATAAAAATAGTACTGATTTATGTATCTTCTGTGTATCGAGTATCTTGATAGCTATTAAGTAACCAAAAAATAGATAAGAAGTGTTTTATACTCCACAGCTGTGATCGTAAGAGAAAACGCTGCGCATCTTTGCGTCATCGGGATACACACATGATAGCAATTTTATCTCTTTACAATATTTGTTTCAAGTTTCAACAGACATTGCATTATGCGTGTAATACAGTAGTGCACGCAATGCTGTAATACTTACTGAGAAAAAATTATTGATAAAACTGAATGTTAAGTTGACAGTGCTTCTTTAATTCAAGGGAGAAAATTGGAGGAAAATCCTCTATTATGAGACAGACTTCTAATATGAGATAACGGAGTTTCTGCTAAATTACTAGGCATCATCTGTAGGTTCCATCGTGAATTTACTGCCCTTGGAGTGTAATCTGTTTAGTGAAAAATTGATTGTTAGATCGTGTAATCGTTGCGAAAGAAGATTTGCGATTAAATGTGGACGTTTAAAACCTGCTATCTCGTATTAGAATCCTATCTCATAATCGAGGACTTTCATCATTTCATGTTTTTCAATTAAACATATATAACGTACCGAAACATTTTGTTTCTATTAACAAATGTGAATATTTGCTCTACAGCCCGTGACCGAGGTATATCGCTGAATCGAGAAATATTTTTTTATTCAACGCCTGTTTTCTCAGTGCACGTATACGATGAAGCAAGCTTCTAAAATATATTTGGAATTTTGCACCCACACGGCTACGTGACGTTCGATTGCACTTCTGAGAAAAATACTTCTGCGTAATATGTCTGTGAATTTGAATTTTTTTTAACGAATATAACATTTCAGAGGTCTCCCGGGAATGAAAACAATTTCGCTGACACGAGTTGATTATATAACACGCGGATGTAACGTGCAAAAAATATTTCCGTATGTTTTGTCGGAATTCCCCGCGGCTTTTATTTCTCTCTCTCTCTCTCTTTCTCCCTGTCGCTCTGACATCACAATCCGACACGGCTATATCGGGGCCTCCTATTAATTCCGAGGAATAATCGGTCACGGTATTTATCCGTCGTCTTTTTCCACTCCTCTCGCGGCCGGTAATTACCTCATTCGGATCGTAACTTCGAAATTAACGATGACGGATATACATAATGGACTCCCGGAAAAACCGGTATTGTGACGAGCTGAGCTTTCGCAAAGAAAGGAAACTGCACGGCGACATAATTATGGACATCTATGCGCACACTGCGCATTGTGTTATTTACGTACATAATTACGTCTAATTACTCGCGTTTGTTTAACACTCTTGACTTTTACGCGTTCATTTGTACCTATTATTGCCCCCCCCCCCCCGAGTTTTCACTCGTAATTCGTTCATAGAAAATAATCATCGTGATTGCCATTGTTATTAGCAAAATCTTGGAAGATGATTCCGTGGAAAACGCAAATTGTTTATCATTTTGCAATGTCCATTATTTCAACGTCCTATTATAAATGACACACAAATTTGTCTTTCAAAAGGTACCTTCGTTCGTCGAAAATGAAGTCGAGATGAATTATGTTCAAATTATAGATTTTTACCGATTGATATTATTTTCTACAATGTAAAGAAAACCGTATTAATTTTTCAAAGCTTAAACGTCCTTTAGTTGAATAATCGCGTCTTTTAGTTGAATAATCGCGTTCGTAATCAATTGCATTGAATACAACCGGCTGCTTTCATCTTCAGGTCTTTCCTTGGAACATGGAATGGCTAGGCATTCTATTGCTATGGGGAATAATCTCAAATGTAGTCGCAGAACCGTAAGTACAAATATGTCAATTGGATCATTAATCAGACACGCCCCCGTAATTTCCATTTAAAATAATTTGTCACGCTGCCTCGTGACAACAAACTATGCTCGCGTTACGATTATGAAGGCCCACTGTATTTGATTGTGCTGTAACGTGGGACAATTCCTCAGTGTTAACAATACTAACGGTGGATAGAGGTCTTCTTTTTTAATAAATTCGAAGAGAATAGAATGGGAAAGTTGGAGTGAAGAAGATCCTCGTTCTCCTTTAAGGTATTACACTATTATTGCGCCGAGAGTGGTGCGTCCTGATTCGGAATATCATGTCGCCGTGAGTATCACCGGCGTGTCGACGCCGTCAACGATATACGTCGAATTGGCTGGCGAACTCGATGCGGGAAAGATATTCAACATTTCTCGGACCGCGACCGTCGAGCCGTACTCCACTCAGATCTTGCGACTAGACGTACGTATGAATTTGCAGCTGTGGTCCACATTTGTCCGTGTTAGATTTCATAAAAAAATGGTGAAAGCTATCCAGCGATCTGTCCCATTAATTTAACATTCATATCGTTGATTTTGCCTGCAATGTTAGATCGGCGAAACCATGCCGGGAAAATACAAACTCACAGCACGCGGTCTGTCCGGTATCGATTTTTACAAGTCGAAGGATATCGAGTATGTGCATAAAAGTTACTCCGTCTTCATCCAGACCGACCGGGCGATTTATAAACCCGGTCACAAAGTTATGTTTCGTTGTATAATATTGGATTCGAGGCTGAGGCCGAGCATTGTGGGACCTACAGACGTATATGTCGTTGTAAGTGCACACATATCTTTTCTCTCTCTCTCTCTCTTTACTGAATACATAAAACTAGTGTGTCACGTAAACTACATTTACTCGTGACAATAAGATAATATAATTCTTCGTGAGAATATGATATTACTTGAGAGAAAATTTACCGCAGGATGGCGATGGTAATCGTATCAAGCAATGGATTCGACCAGCGGTGGCTCACGGTATTTTCGGCAGTGAGTTGGAATTGTCGCATTCGCCGGTACTGGGAAAGTGGAAGCTTATCGCCAATGTCGGCGATCAGACGTTTGAAAAGGAATTTGAAGTCGCGGAGTACGTTCTGCCGAACTTCGAGGTGACGATCGACTCGCCAAAGCACATGCAGTTCAAAGACTCGATAGTTACAGCCACTATCCATGCAAAGTAAGCGATTGTTCCGGCAACAATTTATGGGGGAGATAAGTTTTATGGATTTGAAAAGATTTATGGAAAACCGCCTTCGTCAGTAGATCCTACGTTTCTAGTGAAGACAGACTTTGGAGGTGGTTTCTCAGCTCCAGCTCGAAAATTATTAGTTTATAATCACTTACGAATTGATAATTAATGATCTGACCTATTTAACGTCACTTAAGCCACATTTGACCGGAAGTATTCATTTGTAAGTGAACATAATTTAGGTATACCTATGGAAAACCGGTAAAAGGCGAAGCTACGATAACAGCTTATCCAGACATTTTTTCTGGCGTGATCCAACCGATATTCCAACAACCCGTGAGAAAGGTGGTGCCGATTGACGGAAAAGTTACAGTCGATTTCGATATATTGACTGAATTAAGGTAAATTCGACATAATATTGCATTAATTACATATATACATAGCGCTACATACGACATGTTTCCTCTTTTCCTTTTGCTTCTCGAAATGTTAGCATTTAAACAATTTTCTGCTGGAATAAAAACTTGCCAAGGCTCATGTTACGTATTTTTTAGTATACCAATTTTCACATTAGAAAATATTGCAAATATGCGTATATGTATTGCATCGCATATTATGTATATATTATTTTATAGATTGACCGACGAATATGAGAGGCCCATCATGATTGACGTGGTAGTGGAAGAAGAATTAACTACCAGAAGGCAAAACGCTTCGATGCAAATAACGTTGCACAAGCACAAGTACACGATGGAGTTGATAAGAACGTCGGAATATTTCAAACCGGGGTTAAAATATACTGCTTTCGTAAGTCGAATGTCTTATTACAATGTGCAACAGGTGCAACTTGGGTGCTCAAGTTGCAATGTATTATGTAATACATATATTATGTATCTTTTGCAGTTAAAATTAACATATCACGATGGCTCGCCGGTACAAGACACCAAAAATGACGTTTTAATAGCGTACGGGTACACATATAATCAATCGGCGTATTCCAATATCACAAGAAAATTAGACGAGCACGGCATGGTGCAACTAGATTTTTATCCGCCTAAGGCAAAGGACAACATCTCTTTTCCTCTGAATGTAGAGGTAAAATTGTTAATCAAGCCTCCTTGTGTTACTTAGAAATTTGCGATACCTAACTGTCTGTGTATGTACGCAGGCACAATACTTAAACTTGCATGAATGGTTCCCTTCAACTAATCAAGCTATGTCCGCAAGCAACGAATACATCCAAGCGATTCTGAAAACGGAAAAGCCAGCCGTATGTTTTGCATCTGTTATTGTTACGTAGGAACGTTTCGGCTAGTAATATTCTCACAATCTTTTAATCCGCAAGGTGAACAATTACGTCGACATCGAAGTGAACTCTACCGCGCCGTTGAAATACATAAGTTACGAGATACTTGGTCGCGGTGATATCCTGGACGCAGGATCGATCTACGTGCAAGACAAGTACACGACGTCATTCAAGTAAGTGTTTCAGAATTAAGGAAGCTTAGAAGAGTGTTCGCACTTTTCCGACAGTCGAGTGACAGAAAAACATAATCCTGAGACTCGAACTTCGACAGCTCGACCATACAAGCGGTCCGAAACTATTGATCAAGTTTCGATTTCAAAATTGATACTTTATATAATAAAATATGTTGCAGATTTTTAGCGACATACGTCATGGCCCCTATCGCACACGTAATTGTATACTATGTACGGACAGATGGAGAAGTAATAGCGGATTCGTTAGACGTTGAACTCGCGGGAATACTTCAAAATCACGTAAGTTATCATGGCGCTCGCGAAACGCCCAAGTCGTACCGATTTCACACTAAAAGGAATGTAAGATAATATATTCTAACGTTATAATCTATATTATAGGTCGACCTTAAAGTAACACCAGAGGGAGTTATGCCCGGAGCTAGCGTCAATCTTATGATATCGGCGAAACCCAATTCTTTCATTGGACTGTTGGGCGTCGATCAGAGATCCCTCTTGCTGAAATCTGGAAATGATATCACCTATGTACGTCTTATGTTATCTACGAGTATCTGTAAATTTCTGTACCTGCGATTTCACTTGATTCCGTTTGCATCCATTAATTGCGCGCAGGACCAAGTGTACAAGGAGCTGCAGTCGTACGACAAGGCAGAAACGTCGCCACACGCAGAAGTGCCCTTCGGCCGTCCCCTCTGGAGACCCGGCTCTGGAACAGCGGACGATGTGTTTCAAGTAAAATATGCTATACTTCCTTCTCATTACTCTCGCGCTTGTTACCCGATAATCAAACTTAAATGGCGAATGTCCTGTTCGCAGAAAACTGGCGTGGTAATTCTCACAAACGCATACGTCCACGAGAACTTCCCTATACGTAAGTATCGAGGTGCGAAACTCGAGGCAAATTATTATTTAGTGGAAGACTAACGCGCACTTAAAAACATAACGCGCACATCCATTAAGTATAAAGTATTTCTGAATTGAAGTATTTTGTAGAATCGTCGGATAACTATATTCAAACTTATTTATAATATAGCATGAGAGTAACATTCTTGGTCTCGATTTATTCTCTTAATCAGTATCGACCGTTGAGCCGATCTCGGTCAGATTAGATATATATTTTTTAACCGAGCTTGTATGTGTGTAGTATACTACAGATCTAGTATCGAGGACGTGATGTTTGCGTCCGCTGCAGCATTCCCAGGCCCGGAGCTGGGTGGTGCATTACCGCCCGAGAAGGTCAAAGTTCGCAAGAATTTCCCTGAAACTTGGCTTTGGCAAACGCTTGACGCTGGGTAATGCCATTGACGTAATAAATTATCATGCACACACTCATCATTCTACACGTCCGCTCGTACATTTTGTCGACAATTAATTATTCACTTGGATACACGTTTAATTGCGTAACAGGAATCGTTCCGCACTGTTTCGTAGCATCTCTTTAACGTGTCCGCAAGCTACTATTTTATTTTGTGATGACATAATCTTTTCTTTGGACCACGAATTTTGGTTGAAAATCCGACATCCAATCTACACTCATATATTTTATTAAAATATTAACACGTAAGAGATTTCGTACAACAAGAAATAACGCAAACTACAACAATGCTTCGCATTAAAATTGCGCATCAAAGTTGTTGCGGTGGGAAATGGCGCTGGATAACTTATGGTGGCGGATAAATTCTTCAACTTTTCAGGATCTTTTTGCATTTCGGTGTTGATTTCTCCTGATTTTGGAATGCTCTGTACATATGCGCTCTGTACTCTCTGTATATTTAACATATAGATTTAAACATTTTATTATCTTTAATATATGTATATATTTACTTTGGAGAGATATAATTCGAAATTAAATTTTGTCTACTTGTCTAATCTTTAATATTATTAGACAGACATCTATTTCTGATCATTTCTTTTACGTAAATTAATTTAATTTTCAGAATGCGATTCCGTGGTCTTATAACTTGCGGCAATAATATTTATGTATTATTATAAATTTATTGTTTGAGATTAGTAAAAAAAACTTTCAGAGATAGATGCGAATTTAAGAAATCTGATACGATATAGTAGGTGCTGCTCTGGTAAACTAAAATATATCTACCATTTATTATGGAGTTGAGCCTCTCTCTTGTACAGATTTACAATTATCTCTAATTATCGTATTTAATTGCGCATTAAAATTGTTCCAGGTTTTTATTATTCAACCTATGAAATTTAACAATTTTGGTATTCTGAAAAAAATTGACAACGACCCTTTTAAATATTAGTTTAATTATTATAAATTTTAAATATTATCTATTATTACATTCAACTAAAATAATTTTATCTTTGCATAAAGAATTAAATTTGAGAAAATTTAAGTAATGTCTCTTAACTACATAAAGAGGATGTTTCAGAACTGCCGTTACTGAAAATAGAAATATTTCTGATGCATCAATATCAAGACATTTATATGTCCGTTGAATTAATAAATAGCGTAAAGTCAGTGAATAAATTTCAGGTAAAATTGAAATTCTTCTGAATCCAATTTTAAGCGAGCTTTTACTGAACAAAACATTAACTTGATATACACAAGCGCGCATTCTGGTTTCTTTAAGATGCAAATGTTGAAAATTTATTACAAATGTAGCGTTTAAAATTTATTGCTGCACGAGAACGTGTCTTTTTTTTCAAATCTTCACTAATGAAGAATTGATCCCGAAACTAAATTCTTTCTGTAACTGAAAGAGGCGGTGGTAGATCTGAAGCATTCTGTAAAGGTAATCACATCGTATCAAGGATCAGAAAGATATTCGTTAGGCTATATCGTTCGTATTTGAGTATAGTTACCTTATTTTCGATCAATGATCGGGGCTGGTGTAATACAACATGCAGAATTGGATTGCAGGACCACAAATTTTGGAGGGTAGAATAACGGGCTCGCCTCATGGGGTGTCCACGCTTCGACCAGACCTTGGTCCACCTGTCACGCACAGATTAGCGACAAGACCACCGCTGGCAGGTCCTTACGCCTTCTCTCGCATCCCACCCCCTGTCTGGAATAAGCCCCGTGTATTCCTAATGCATGACATCTTAAACACCTGGCTTTTCACAAACTTCTCTTCAGGGTATTTATTTCGTATCTTGTATACTTTTAGCGTGTTTATGCACGTCTGTGTAAATGCGGTATATATGCAGGGTGTGAACAGACGGGCAGGAATGCCTGGAAATTTCTATAATTATAGAATACATTATACACTGAGAGACCCATTTTGTTGAATGAAACGAAACAATTTGGTCAAATCATTTTCTTGATTGAACATGTAATTGTATAAAACGAAAAATATGCTAAATAATTGTGTTTGTTGCGTGAACAAAATCGTTTAGTTGAATACTATAAAAGGATTCTGCGCATGTTCACTCAACCAAATTTGTGTGTTGATACAACCAAATTTTCCAACTAAATTTTTTTGCTGTATCAACTGAGCGATTTGTTTGCTCAAACAAGAAGTTCAGTTGAGTCAACTAAATTTGGTTTCATTCAACAAAATGGGCCTCTCAGTGTAGCAATGTCCAGGCGTTCCTACCTGTCTGTGTACGTAAATTGAGAAAAAAAAGAGCAAGAGCGAGTTCGAATCGACCGTTTCGAAGTTACAGAGTAAAATTATTTCCGCTCGATGTATCGGTCCGCACGTGCCCCTCGTAAGTTTTTTCAGTGACACCCTGTATATCTGTAAATAACGCGCATACCGTATTGTACAGTTACGTGAAAGTTGATCAAGGTAAAGGTGCGATCTCATGTTTCTCAAGAATGTAAATGTAAGTTGCGTTACAAAGGCTTGTTCTGCGTATCATGCATATCTCAGTTCTTGGAGAACGAACTGTCTTGCATCACGTCATTCACGGAGGAACGATTGATTTTTGTACGTAACACTGTTCGCTATTTATACATCATTTACGTTGAAACGTAATGTGTCTCCGCATTTGCAAAAGGTGAAGGATACGAACGTAAGAATATGTATTTCATATTACATCAATTTGCTTGTATCGTGTACACCTGCGTATTGTCGCTTCACTAGACAGCTGCGATGTAATCTCTTTTATCGCTATCCGAAACATTGTACTTTTCGGAGGTATCACCCTTACAGAAACGTAACAACTGGCAACGCAAAGAAGCACTGAACAATTTACTAGAATATCAGTAATTGAATCCTTAGAAATTACCGATGTACAGTAATTTTCTAGTGATTATTTTGCTTACCTTTCTATAAGGGTAAAGATCAGTTCATAGTTTTTTTAATTATTCCAATTTATTTATCATCTAAATATTAGTACACGAGATGCAGAATACCCTTTATCTTGCGTGATTATGACGTTCGATCTGTGTACTCTTACAGGTATACTGGAAAAACGGAATTACGACGCACCGTGCCAGATTCCATCACATCCTGGGTACTGACTGCGTTTTCCGTCAACGACGCGCACGGATTGGGCCTTATAGAAGAACCCAGAAAGGTTGTTACACTCATTACACGCGCACTTATATAATCTGTACACAAAGCCCAGTAAACGCCAACTATCAGCAGTGATATGACATCGATATTATAATTTCCTACTTAACAATGTAACAGCTATGTATGTACAACATATCGACTGATCTCTTTCGCAAGATCGTATCTCGATTTTACACAATTTCCACTTTTCTGTTTAAATGCTTATGCTGGTCTTAAATGAGCATTTAAGCAGAAAAACCGAAAATTGCGTAAAATCGAAATACGACCTTGCGAAAGAGATCAGTCGATATGTTATATTACATTTATATCGTTGACTGAGAAATTATAATATTGGTATTATGTAACCGTTATTTGGTGTTTACTGGAAAAGTCCAGGTATTGAGTTTGTTGCAGGGAAAAATTACTTTAGAGTTTAATTTGCTGTAACAAAGAAAATGATAGATTCGATCGCAAAATTCTTTCCGGCCGCGAATTTTACTAACTTTCCGATTCTCTTTCCTCGCAAATTCACTGTTCTGTTTTCATTGATTTTCTACCAATCTCTTCTTTCAATCTGCAATAAACGGCACAACGTTGGGTCGATTGCACGTATGGTAATTCCTTTTTTTTTTTATACACATCACGTATAAGTATAATGAAAGCGATAAAGATCTGTGCAATACTGTACAGCAAACCAGGAAACTATTATATATAAAGGAATAATCACCGAACTGTTGTATTAATGTTATTTGAATAACTTTTTTTTTTTAGTTGAAAGTGTTCAAACCCTTCTTCATATCCGTCGATTTGCCGTACTCGGTAATTCGGGGAGAAATCGTAGGAATACAGATTGTCGTGTTCAATTATATGAATAAGGACGTGACAGCCGAAGTTCTGCTAACAAACGAGGGACAATTTGAGTTCGCGGAGGTTTCTAATGAAGTTCACGATGTACCAAGTAAGTGGCTTAACATTATTTAACTGGGGGGGGGGGGGAAAGAGGACAATAATATTTGTTTTCTAATTGTAACAATGTATGTAGCTTATAAATAAGTTGATATAATTATATATCAACGTATGTAACTTAGGCCCAGTTTCACCAACGTCGCTTAACTTTAAGCTTAGTTTAATCCATTCTTTATCTCTTTCCAACTGTTACTTTAGAAAGAGACAAAGAACGAATTAAGCTAAGCTCAAAGTTAAGCGACGTTGGTGAAACCGGGCCTTATAACTTATCTTAATCCAATTAGGATAATTTGTAGAATTAAATTGTTGTCGTTTAATTTTTTTCAGAATTGGAGTTATATCGCAGGAAAAAAATTGACGTGAAAGCCAATTCCGGCTCGAGTGTGTCGTTCATGATTATTCCACGAGAACTGGGGTACATCACTATAAAAGTGACTGCTAACAGCGTCTTAGCTGGCGACAGCGTTGAACATAAATTACTCGTCAACGTAATGATCTTTCATTCCTTTTCCTTTTTTGTTCGCGCAACTGCCCAACGATAAGTAAACGTTGTTCTACTTTAAGGCCGAGGGAGAAACGCAATATAAGAATGAAGCGGTATTTCTGGATTTGAGAAACACTGAGCAGGCGGGTGCGAACGTTACCATCAACATACCTAATAATGCAGTTCCAGGATCTGAGAATATACAAATTTCTGCAGTTGGTAATAATGCCACTTAGATTATGCATTGCTTCTAATTTGAAGAGATGTTGATTTTCCACTCCCCCAACTCTTACAGAAATGTAACAACTGGGAACGAAAAAAAAGCACTGAACAATCACTAGAGAGAGTTCAGTAATTGAGTTATTTATTAGAAATTACTGATGTACAGTAATTTTCTAGTAATTATTTAACTTACATTTCTATAAGGGAGAAATCAACTCTTTTAAACTATTTATAATCCATAATGAGTATCAATCTGTAACAAGCTACATGTATTCATAAAATTCATATGTACCACATTTATAATATGCAAATTTATTCCGCGTAAAATATCCCACTTCTTTATTGATTGTATATTGTTACAGGTGATATCTTGGGTCCTAGTATCCCGAACTTGGCAAATTTAATAAGAATGCCATTTGGTTGCGGTGAGCAGAATATGCTCAACTTTGTACCAAACATCGTCATTCTAAATTACCTCAAGGTACCGATAATAATCTATTCTGCTATATGGCGTACAAATTGTAATTCATATTCATAAAAAAAAATACACTTTTCAGAACACGAATCAATTAACGCAAGCCGTGCAAAGCAAAGCGCTAAAATATCTGGATATCGGCTATCAGCAGGAATTGACTTATAGACATAACGACGGCTCGTTCAGCGCATTTGGCATGTCGGATCCTAGCGGAAGTACATGGTACGCACAACAAGATTATTTAACGATTATTTCATCTACTCAAGGTCTGAGATATTTGAGTCACAAGAGCTAAAGTATTACGTTTATCAGGCTTACAGCTTTTGTAGCGAAATCTTTCAAGCAAGCGGCGGCATACATAGCGGTTGAGGATAGGATCATAAACGAGGCATTGCAGTGGTTGTCCAACAATCAAGCGTCAAACGGTTCTTTCCCCGAAGTGGGAAGAGTTAGCCATCGTGATATGCAGGGCGGGGCTGCCAAGGGACTCGCTTTAACTGCATACACACTTATTGCTTTCCTGGAAAATGAGGTAAGTACAATTAGACGCAATACCTTTCTATTTAGTTCAATAGCACTTAGAGAGATGTAACTGTTCGCCAGATATATGTCATTTAAAAGCAATGCGCAAAATAAAAACTGCGTTTTAACGTTTCCCATGTCACACAATTATTGAAACATTTTGATGCAGGAATCTGTGGGGAAATATCGCAATACTATAAACAAGGCTGTTGACTATATTGTCCGTAACATGGAAGGACTAAACGATACCTACGCACTGAGCCTGTGCGCCTACGCCTTGAATTTGGCAAAGCACCCTTATGAGACGTCGGCATTTAACTTGCTGGAGTCGAAAACTACGACGAAGCAGGATCTCAAATGGTGGAGCAAACCCATTCCGAAAGACAATAAAAATCCACACTATTCTTTGCCGCGTTCCGTTGATGTCGAAATGACATCGTATGCTTTACTTTTGTATCTTAGACGCAATTTAGTCGCAGATGCGATTCCCGTAATGAAGTGGCTCGTCAAGCAGAGAAATACGGAAGGCGGCTTTGCGTCGACGCAAGTAAGCAATTATTTCAAGTACAAAATTATCTCAAGCATGAAAGTAAAGGTGAATTAAGGTTTAATTAAAATTATGTGAAAATATTATATAAAAATTATATAAAATAATTTAGGATACCGTGATTGGACTTCAAGCATTGGCGAAGCTTGCTGAAAAATTGTCCAGGGACACGAGTTCGGTTCGAATCACATTTAAATACGAGGACAAAGGTCAAGGTTCTATAAGCATAAATAGTGGTAATTCCATGATACTCCAAAAACATGTAGTAAGTTCAAATTGTGGCGCGTACATTACGGCGTTGCTACGGCGAGATATTAATACTTTTGCACTTTCTTGCAGCTACCTTCGAAAACACGATTCGTAAATATAACGGCGTCTGGTAAAGGTTTTGTGCTAGTGCAAGTTTCCTATCAATATAATTTAAACGTGACAGGAGCTTTTCCATTGTTTACCTTGGATCCTCAAGTGGATAAAAATTCCAACGCTAATCATTTACAGCTTTCTATATGCTCAGGGTATGTTCTCGTCATTATCTTTTAACATTATCTAATTGTAAGTTTAACAATCTTGGAAACCATATCGGTAAGAAAGGAAAGTCGATACTTTTTTTTAAAGTTCTGATATTTTTACGCAATTATCTTGAATTATCATAAAACGAAAAAGTTTTCAATTAATTTTTTATCTTAGCAAAGAGAAATATATTTAGATACGTAAGTTTAATCTTTTTAAAAAAAATAGAAGAATAAAGATAGAATGAGCTAGTTCTCTCATGTCTATTTCTAACAATGCAGTTTAACTTACTTTTACCTTTTTTTTTACTTCTAAGAACAAGATAAAAAGTAAATTAAACCGAGGTTAAAGTTAATCTGCATTGATAAAAATGGACATTAGACAGTATTGTGTTATAAAATTCTGCTGATCGAACATTTATAATCACGCCATTATTTGTCGTCAGATTTGTTCCAACCGAGGAAGCAAACGAGAGCAACATGGCCGTTATGGAAGTAAGCTTACCTTCTGGCTTCACAGTGGACAGAGATTCGTTACCGAGTTTAGAAATATCATCACACGTAAAACGCGTGGAAACTAGAAACGGCGATACAATGGTGGTTTTGTATTTCGACAAGGTGTGTATCACAGATCTAATAATAACCAAATAACACAAATTACTAAATAAAAAATAGTTTCCACAGAAATCTGAAAAGAAGTACAATTAACATAAGAAAATTATTTATTATCGTAGATGGTGAAGCAGGAATATTGCCCAACCGTGTCCGCATTTAGGACACATAAAGTAGCTAAGCAAAAACCAGTTCCCGTCTCCGTTTATGATTATTATGACTCGTGTAAGTACAAAATAATGTAAACGTTTTATTAACTTAGAAAAAAAATGTAAAATATATTCTAAGATAAAAGTGTGTGTCTTATAAAATTGTCAAAAATCTACTTTTTTGTTTTCACATGCGCAGCAAGAAGAGCGAGAGCATTTTACGAGCCTAGAAAGACAACGCTGTGCGATCTGTGCGAGGATGAAGATTGCGAAGATATATGCGTTTCAAAACCCGGTAAACGAAAGGACAATGCTACAGCGTCCGCTGCGCCCCACGTTTACGCTTGTGTATATTTGCAATTTACGATCTTCTCGTTTTACTGTTTTCTCCATAAGTACTTGTAATTATATTGTTATCGAGAATAATTATTTCAATATAATATAAACTTTAAATCTAACAAAGTAACGTAAAGAAGCTGTATAAGTTGCGACCAAAGTACACATACTTGTTATACAGGATATAAGATATTACAATCTTTTTATGGAATCTTTTTATGGCACTAACATAAGATTTAATTATTTAATGATAATATTAAGTCTATAATAAATCTTAATAATGTTACTTGTTATTAATTGGTAGAGATTTTTTTATACTGCCCCTCCGATGCGCCGGTGTTTGTACAAAATGCCTCGTTTACATGAATTTTTATATTAAAACAGAGGAGAGGGAATGATGGAGAGAGATAGGAATAAAAGAAGGGCAGGAATTTATAAAACACAATTTTTATTAATGTAATATAGTTAATAATAATGTACTTTTTATGCTCAGTTAATTTTAAATGGGGTTTTCAAGACGCTTCATTCGACAATTTATAGAAATATTGAAAATAACAAAACTGGTCAGTAACTTACATACCTAGAATCTAAAACAGAAATAATAATCACATTGTAGCGCAATTTATGCGTGCAAAAGATCGTCGTCGCTATCTGATTGACACTGCGTAGGGTCGGAAGCGTCGAGCAAAAGTCTAGCTTCCTCAGTGGTATCGACCTGTGACAAAAAGCAAAATGTATATATAACGTATATACGGCATTTGAGTAAAAGAAAATTATTGCATTATAAACGTTCCAAGGGAAGAAAAATTGCGACATTATACATATAAAGCAAACGTACTCTGCAATATTGGACGCGACCTGTGCCTCTTCTGAAACTAAGCAGGTTTGTCCAAGGACGACAGCATGTCCTTTCCACCGGATTTCGGAAATAAATTAAAGCGGCCATCACCGCGATCACAGTTAAGACTACGCCAGCTATCGCTCCAGCTGTAAGCACGAATATTAGTATTGTAAGATCATCATGGAGAAATAAATCGAGGCAAGTGGGGAAAAAAGGGAAATTGAGCTGAAAGAAAAACAATTCCATAAATTCATCATTAAAATGTAAAATAATTTTACTCTGATATTTCTCAATGTGAAACAATTCGACAAACATGTTTGAGGCTAATGAGAAATTCCCGATTTTACTTTCTCAGATTTGTCGCTTTTCTCCGTTAAACAACAAACTCTTGCCTCAATCTGTCCCATTAAAGTCGACATTCGACACAACGTCGCATTCGAAATCTAATATTACAAAGAAAGATGTGTTTACCGTGACTAGGAGAAAATGGTTCCAAAAGAATTCTGGACGACGATGCATCTTCCCGAGACGCGTTCCGAGAATTAGCATGTTTCACGCATATCACCTCGGTGTGCCACTCGAATTCCGCGCTGCACTGCGATTCCTGGGGATCGTAGAAAGAAAAAAGAAATTAATGACACCGAGTTGGAGATATGAGTCGGCAGCGTTCGCTTCTCGGTGAGCAACGTGTTAGCAGTATGCTCGACAATTGGTGGCAAATTGGATATCAGGAACTCGATCGTGAATCCTTTTCTCCAACGTGAATTCGTCAATGAGATTTTTCATTTTTCACGAGTTTCACGCTAGAGAAAAAGATCGTGTTCGAGAATTTCACAACAAAACCATAGTCGTCTATCCGCGGTCAGCTCGTGTTCCGAGCAATTACGCGGAGCCAAACTACGCCATTACACGGAGAGAATTTTCTCTGAAAATTTACCCTGAAGATCATGTATTCATAGGACCACGTGCCATTTTGAAGAACTGTATGACGATTTTTGAAATTTTACATTATATTCTACAGTACAACGTATACTGAGTATAATTAAGGCCCGGTTTCACCAACGTCGCTTAACTTTCAGCTTAGCTTAATTCGTTCTTTGTCTCTTTCCAACTGCTACTTTAGAAAGAGACAAACATAAATTAAACTAAGATTGAAGTTAAGTGACGTTTGGTGAAACCGGGCCTAAAATGTATGGTAAAATTAAAGAAAAAACTCATAAAATTCTTCGAAATGCCATGTTATCCCACGATTACGTGATTTTCAGGATAAATTTAAAAAAAATCTCTCCGTGTATACAAGTTCTGCTAGTTTTCTGCCGGTATAGCGTGTTAGCAGATAGCTAGACGTCTCATGAACGCACGTTCTAAATATAGTTTGTCCGTGCACACAAATTGGACTTAAATAAGATGTTTTTTTTTGACATAAATCAAATTTATTTTATGGACGTTCGATTCATTCAAGTTGAAGTTATATTAACGTTTAAAAATATGTTTTTTTATTACTGAAATTGTTTTAAAACACTTCGAAAGAAAGGCAGGGGTCCTACATTAGCAGACTTCATTAGATTTATAACGGCAGTTCGGCATGTCGTCAGATAGAACAGAGTCTGTCAGATTTGTTGCCTTTCTGCTATCAAAAATTTACGTATAGCAAACTCGGAATCTGCTTGCGCAGGTTTGCGCTATCTGAGTTAAAGCCTGTATCAGACTACGCATTGGAGATTGAGGAAACGCGAATGGGAGATTGGAATTTGACCAAGCAAAACGAAAGGAAATTAAATTAATAAATTCGATTGATCGATCTCTAATCTTCAGTTCGCGATTCGTAATCTTCAACGTGCAGTCTGATATGGGCTTAAGACTCGGGTGCACGCCGCGGCCATGCTCGAATCGTGACGTCAAAGGCGAGAGAAAGGCGTGACACGCATGAGAATTCCTACGTGTCCGAATAGAGATTTGGATAAAGTAAAGTTTCAGGGCACGCATTATGGAATTTTTCGGAATGGATTCCGATCGGAATTGTTCAATTACTTCCTAGATTTCTATTATGTTTTCTAGGGAAAACAGAATAATTCCAATCGGAATGCATTCCGAAAAATTCCATGATACGTGCTCAGACCGCTTCAGCACACTTATGAAACTGTCCGGAAATTATCCTTTTCCGATGACAGTTAATAAACAGTCGCATAATAAATGTGATACAAAGCTCAGTCGAGTCTAGTCTGTATAATCTGATCCTGATGGGTCTGATCTGATAACCGCCCGGAGATGAAACGCGTGACAGGATATGGCAATCTTATCCCTTTCATCAGTTATGAATAAACATACATTTTATACGCTCGACAAGTCAAAAACGTAGTTGCAAAGACCAAACGGTATATCGTGCGAACCACCGGATAAACCGGGACATAAAAATTTTGATTTCAAGGTGTGAAGAACTGTGAGGAATGAGACTCCATTTTCAATATTTTCAGGATCCTGACGTTCACGTAAGTATAAAAATTAAAGATAAAATAAGTCTTAATATTTCAAAAAATTTTTTGCTCAATTTTAAATTAAAAGGCAAAAAGACGACATCGTAAAAACAGCTGAGCTTAATATCAGATAAGACAGCGATAAGACGTAAAAATTAAACAGATATAGTTTCTATTAATACATACATGTGTACATTAACAGAAGCTAAATAGATGTGAAAAAGTTATTACATAGGTAAAGTATTTATTTCAGATAACTAAAGAACCATGATTATCAGTTTGCATAGGAATACTTGTGACTTCCTTCATTTTTAAAGGAGTCAATATCTTGTATATACATATATATTATACACACATATACAGGGTGGGTCATTTTTATCTGTACACTGTAATGTCTCCTCAGGTAGGGGTGATAGCGGAAAATAGGGGGTTTCATTAAAAAATTGAAGGTGACCTTCACGTGACCTTCAAGCAACTATTCAAAGTTAAATTAATGACACCACCTTATGTCCCCCTCGAAACCCAACGACTATTGTCTGAGGCATTTTCCGCTAACACCCCTACCTGAGGAGATCTTACCGTGTACGGATGAAAATGGCCCACCCTGTATACACAATTGCATCGACGTTACATCATGCATAAAAGATTTCAATAGATAGAAATGATAATAAAAAATAATATCCTTAGCTCCGATTTCCCCTCTTCTATTGCCGCTTCTTATCAAGCGTATATGTTATCAAGGTGCGACAAATATATTTCGCATTTCATCGAATAGATAAGTGGTAGCCGAGTAAAAGAGTGTCAATCTAGAAAAGTCCAATCTAGAAACGATTACTTAGACGCGAAAGATGCAAAATAGTATGGGTCTGAATAGAATGCTTGTATTGTACTCTTAAGACAATGTTTCACGTTTTAAGTCTTTGTCTTAAATTAACGCACGATAATTGTCTTGTGTCCTAAGAATGCAGTTTGTTCAGACTCTGAGCGTAATAAACACATATTACACAAAAAGAAATAGTAAAAAAACCTGCATTATACATGGAAATGTATAACACAAGTACGTTATACAGTGATATATTATACAAACGATTACTGAACGTATCACTGATTACTGAACGTATCACTGAAAACAATGAATATTCACTGATTCACAGTTACAAGTATAGCACTGAATTATTCAGTGGTATACTTAGAAGAAAGTCCTCTGTTATGAGATAGGATTCTAATATGAGGTAGCAGGTTCTCAATGTCCAAATTCAATCACAAATCTTTCTTCGCAACGATTACACGATCTAACAATCAA